CTGACATATTTCAAAGAATTTCTTTCAATGAAGCAATGCATGTGCAATTAGGGCTGCAACTTGGGCGGGCTTGGATTGATTTTTTTTTTCCAACAAAATTTGAAAGAACCCAACTCGAAGCTCGAGCCTAAAGTTGGGCAACTCTAGTTATACCCCTATCTGCAATGATCTAATGGCTGACATGGATAAGCTACTTCACGGATCACTCAGCTTCACAAGTGGACCTCAAATTGTCTTTACATTGAGACGTGTGACAAAATTTGTGGCCATTACCAAACAACAGCTGATTTAACATACTTGTTAGTGTTTATGGAGCAAATACAAATTTTGGTCCCAGTTCAATTTTGCATTTGTTAATTTGTAAATATAACTTATATTCCTACCTGATGCAAAGTTTACTTTTTTTTTTTGGTCTCATTTGCACTCTTGAAAGAGAAAAATTGTGCCTCCTAAAATAATTCAACATTATTTTCTCCTACCTTAATTCTCTTTCATACATTTTACTTCTTACCTTATACTTTCCAAATAAATAACTTTTCTCATACCTTAATTTTCTTTCATATAAAGTGAGGCCCATTTGCTTTCTATCTTGTTCCTCTTCTCAAACAAGTGTCATTGTTCTTGCCTCGCTCCATTCTCTTCCATAAGAAGTGAGGATTGCATCATGTAACTTCTTAATTTACTTCTACAAACACCCAAGATATTTAAACCAAAAGTAAATCAGAATTCACACTCAGCTAATTTGCATGAGCCCAGATCTGCTCCTCACAGCAAGTTTCTCACACCAAATTCACAGCATGTTCCATCCATATTGGGACATTAAATTCTTAATTCTTAAAATTGCCCATTAAATTACCCCTTCTTTGTATTACTTGTTCCTTTTAAAACTCTATTTTACCTTTTCTTTGGAACTTTCTTATTTATTATAAAGACAAAGTTGCCCTTATATATAACATAACAGTATTTTGTGTTTATAAATGAGGGTATTTTTGTTAATTTAAAAATATACATCTTAGTGGCAGAACTGATACTTTTGTTTTGTGGCCATTAGCTAAGCAAGCTACGGAGGTGGTAGAAGTATTTGACTAAAACCCTAGGGGATGTACAAGTAATTTATCAAACAATTAAAAAAAAAAGAATGGGTATGATCCGCTTAAGAGGCCTCTCACAAGAATGATGAACCGATTCTAACCATTGGATTGTTTGATATGGGTCTCATAATCTCACTCCAATACAAGGTGGATATAGGGTGTCAATTACATTCTAAAAGCCATTACTCAATGTTGGTTCCATCTATATTGGGTCTTCGGAGGGCTAGAATGGGTATAGTCCTAAATCCTAATCTTTGACATTTTTCATATAAAGTGATTGCTCTCATCTCATATTCGAAACCCTATTCTCATGTTTGTTAGTCCGAGATATTACCCGTCACCAAAGGACCCTTATGTTGTAAAAATTTGAAAAAAGAAATATTCATCGAAAAAATGTTTTCTAATCTAGTGAAATGGAAGTTTTCCTATAAATGTGTTGGGATATTTAATTCACACATCTCTCATACTTATATATTATCCTTCATGGGAGATGTTCCCGATATACAGTTGTTATGTCTTGTGGGTAGGAGATTGGAATTGTTAATAAAACTTGCACCGTTTTTAGGAAATCTTGTCATCACTCCACATAATTCATCGGTTACAGAATCCTCTGCACTGATAATATTGTATTGAACCCTACAGTCCATGTCAGCCCCATTTGGTCTGAAATTTTTCATGAAATTCCGGAAATCATTCAAATCCCAAGTAAATTTGCCACTTGAAAGATTCGTAGGATGTTTAAGGGAGTTGTCAGATCTGTTTGCACTTTAACAATTATTCCCCACCTTCCACTGTCATAGTCTTATGTGAAACCAATCCAATGGTTAAATCCAGCACCTCCTGTGGACTCCTCATTGAATCTGGACCCTTTATTCTTTATTTATGTGCACGTGTGTTGTGCTCATTGAGATGGAAAATTGGGATTGGTGATCAGTAAGAAGTAAGAACTGCATGGAGTTAGTCAACTTAAGAATTAACCAAGAAAGTTGAATGAAAGCTGGAGAATTTTCTTGGATTGAGTCTATATTAGTTTATAAGAGAGAGATGGCCTGAAACTAGTTGTGGGGAGCCAAATAACTATCAATTTGGTGTAAATTATGTATATCTTGAGTCTTGACTTTGAACTGTCTACTTTAGAAGATATGGAGTGAAAGGATTATTTTATATCATTGCATTAACTAACACTTATGGGGTCTTAGCTTCTTAGCTTATTTAATTAAGAGAAGACTAAGTTTAGACTGCACATGCAGTTAGTAGATGAGACGTATACAAATGTTTTCAAATTGTGTAATTAAGGCCCGTTTGATGCAATTTTTTCACACTTTTGTTGGTTATTTACAAGTTTGGTAGACTGTGGTTCAGTCTTTTCTCGTTTGATTCGTGGTAGATTTAGTTGTCGAAAGATTGTATCTTGAAAAGACATGGAAAACCTGTTTTGGGCTGGTTTCAGAAAGTTTTAAATGGAGCTTTTCAGTATTTTTTGATTCATCTTCGCACGAAAAGATACGCTTGAATCAAACGGTCTTTAAACTATCAAGATCTTAATGCAAAAACTCACTATACATTTTTTGACCTTCAGAGCTACCAGAAGATCTTCTCAAAAAGACTTATCAAACGGCCCCTATATTAAGAGCTGATGTTTAGTGAAAATCAATCTAAAAATCAAGACACAAACTCCAACACACTCCCTAAAACAAGAAAACTAAAATCATAAACAAATAAAGAAAAGGGAGGCAAAGAAGCGAAGAATGAGAAATTCAGATATATAGATGTTGACACTCCATACCCATCACTGGTTTTGGTACAAACTTTAGCTTACACTCCAAACCAGACCTATTTTATAAACAAATCTCTGCAAGTCAGAAAATCACTAGTGCTAGATGCCTAGATCTTTTGCATCCGTGTGAGGATGGGAGATTACCATTAATTATTGAGAAAAAAGAACAAATTCTAGGCAATTGATCATTTTTAAGTTAATTAGCTCCTTAATTAATTGGAAATAACAACCAACCGCCATTGGAATTATTTCCTTTTTCACAATTTTTATTACTTATTAATACATTTTAAATACATTGGTTGTTGGTTTTGATCACGTTTATACATTTTAATTCTAATGTGCATTATCAAATTAGGAATTTTTTTTTATTGGAAATAAATCAGGATATATAATTTAATAATTAATAAATTGTTTGACCAAAAAGTACTTAACAGCAAAATACCTTTTACTTTATGGGCAAGAAAGGGACTTTTTATTTTTTTTCAATTTTGTTTTGGGGAATGGGAGTGGAAAACCTCCACTAGCTTATTTTTTTTACATGAAGAAAGAATATATGGGAAATAAAGAAATATTTATTGAGGATATCTGGCCAGATCAATAGATACTAAATGTTGTGTTCATGGAGTTCTTATCATACATTTTGTCCTTGTTTCCATTTTTTTTAATATTAATTCCTTGTCTGCAGTTTGTTTTTGCTAATTAGTTTTTTAAAAAACTGTTGGCATTGACGATTCTGGGGGTTTATTATATTGTTGAAGCTTGCTAGTTGCATGAAGCATGACATAACGTTTTGTTCCCATGAAGGAATTGTTTTCATTCTCATAGAACCAAGACTAATACATGAGCTGGATGAGGATTCTTCCGACTACATTCCTCTCATTTTGGCTTGTTTTGGAGGTCTACAAAATGTGGAGAACCCTCAAAACCTAAAAACAGGGGTGTGTGTGTGTGGATTACTTGATCAAGTGGGTTTTCTCTGTTGTGATTTTTTTTCCTGATGTGAGCTTCACAGGCAAAGGTCAACCAACCTGATTTGAAAAGCGTTGATTCTTGAAACAGAAACACCGAAAACATGCTGTGTGTGGTGTATTTCTTGCTTTTAAAACTTAAACTTGAACCTGTTTCAAAACATGCTTTCTTCTAGTGGTTCAGAAGGGCTACTTAATTCAACACCATAGAGTTTTAAGTGCCCGTTTGGGAACTGGCAGGGCTTTCACACAGCGGCTTTTCACATTTTGAGATGGACCCCACATAGAAAAAGCACAGAAGTGAAATTTGGCGAAACCCCGGAATGTGGATGTGAACTTTTTGAATACTATGGATCTGCTACCCACAAATTCTTCCCACATTCATACCCACGGAGCACCAGTGCCACTATTGGAAAGTGGAAACATCTCCCCTTGAATGATAAGGGAGATATTTCCAATGCGCAGATGTAATTACTCGTGGGTAGGGATGTCGGAATAATTTGTGGGTAGCAGATCCGAGCCCCTTTCTGAATGCTTTTTAGGAATAGCTTATCCAGAACACTGGCACTCAACCATGACGGCTTCTTTGCTGTAGTGGTTCAATCTAAAAGCAGAAACCCTCCCAAACGGGCTCTCAATTTGAACTGGCAATATGTGAATCCAAACATAGAGGCCAGAGGAGCATCTCTCTCTCTACCCACCCGTGTGTGTGTGTGGGTGGGTAAACAGGTATTGAGCCCGTGATGTGGGACAGAAAGGACTGTCCAGCTGAGCCATTGGGTCGACCCAAAGGTATCTAATAATACTTGCATGACATTACCTTTAGGGCATCCAATCCATCCTTTAGTTGCCAATTTTACATTGAGTCCAACTTAACTCTGTCCCACTTGGTGGAGCAGATTTTGGTCTCCTCTATTTGCCAAAAAACAATCCTACTGGCCGTAATGGGCAGACATGCTCTAAGACAAGACTGCTTCTGGGTCTACATAACCCAAAAACAATTCCTTCTCTTCACTTGCACCCAAAAGCAATAATTCCTCCTCTTGAAAAAGTAACTTCCTATGACAGATTCCCCATGCTCTACCCACTCAAACATTCAACCCTTTCTGAAAAACCTTTCACTATATCTGGAAAAGCAAGCCTCATTAGCATGCAATGATAATATTATGTGTTGGACTTTGTTTATAAATTACAGCCTCTTTTCTTTACCTTTTGCCTTCTATCCATTCCATCCTTTCTTTGTAGCTTTTCAGAAATTGAAACTTGAGCCAGTTTCTTTTATTATATATGTATATCTCTTAGTGATCTGTTTATGTTCCTGGAGCTTTTGGGTTATTTAATTGATTTCTAATGTATTTAATGTTTCCTCTCCCCAACTGTGAATTTATGATGGTCTGCTGTATTTAGGATGTAAGAAGAACTGAACAAGGATTAATCCCTGTTCTGCTGACTCAGAGTAGATATAAACAGTGAACATTGAATAGAGGTGAAGTAAAACTGAGGTGTGGATCAGTGGATGAAAGTTTGTAGCTCACATTATCACTTGACTCTTAATCAGAGATTCATAGGAGCGTGGGTTTGGAGTTGGTGGCCTGGTGGGTCTCTCCATACTGGTTTTTTATTTGTGGACCCAACACTCACCATCAACTTCAGTCATCATCTCAAGCCCCACATCATCTCCCAAGCAATCAAAAGCATCCCCAGCCCCTTGTACATTTCAGTTAAGATCTCCCTGTTTGGCAGTTCTTAGAGCTTTTGATATCCATTGATCAAATCGAGGTCTTCTTCTCTTGGATTTAATTATCAAGCACAACATAGTATAATCTTTTATTAATTCTTCTCCTTTTGCGTGTGTCGTTTGGTTTCTCCAGAAATAAGAAACAATGAAGCTCCAGTAAAATTCAGACTTCAGACCGGGTCCGACTTCAGTTTTTTGTTTTTTTTTTTCCCTCTAATTTTTAATGTCGCATATGAATTGGCAAATGATGAAATTAAATAAAGGATGGAAATTTGGAAAGCTTTGTTTGAATCTTTTGTTTCCATTTTCACTAACTGCGTTTTTCATTGTATTTTATGTAGGTGAGGGTGTCATATTTAATGCTAGATAGGCTGGCCGGGAACCTGGGTTGATTTCTTCCCCTTCTTTCATTTCTCTCTCCTTGGTTTCTTCTCTTGAAAACTGCAAAAACAAGGAAAGACAGTTCATAGGAAAACAGATAACCCATTGATGTATACCTTCAGTCTCTCCATATTCTCTTAAGACAGAAAGCAATCCCCATATTCTCTAACACAGAAAGCCAGACTCAAGGACCCATCTCTCCAAAACCTTCAGATCCCTCTCACAGTCTCACCTCTCCTCTCTCTCTCTCTCTCTCTGGTACTATTTTAGTGTATCGGAAGTATCCATCTCTGAATTCCCATTTTCTCCATCTGGGTTCTCGTCTACAATGAGAGATATAGCATCTTGTTTGGGCGAATACGCCATAAAAGTAAATGATCCTTCTTGTGCGGGCACTTCAACGCATGGTTGTCGTCCTCCAACATCATTGATTCCTTCAATCCAGAATGCAGTCACCTGTGTCTACAAAGTAAAGCTCTCCACCCAGAAGCAAATCCTGATCACAATAACCTGGTCTAAGAATTTCATGGGTCAAGGCTTCAGCATCAACTGCGGCGACGACCCATCTTCTGCACTCAAAGTCAACACCAATTCACGGTTATTCAGGAAAAAGAAAGGCAGCCGGATATTGGAATCTGATAATTCTAAGATTGAAGTCTTCTGGGATCTCTCCACAGCTAAGTATGACTCTGGTCCTGAACCAGTTGACGGATTCTATATTGTGGTCCTGGCTGACTCCGAGCTTGGACTGGTCCTTGGAGACATGGGTGAAGAAGTGGTCTGCAAGAAGTTCAAGGCTGTTCTCTCGGTTGCCCAATTCTCTTTGATCTCCCGAACAGAGCATTTCTCAGGGAATCCTTTGTATTCAACCAAGGCGCAATTCTGCAATACTGGGACGGCCCACGAAATTTTGATCAGATGCAGTGGAGAAGACGAAGGGTTGAAGTATCCAGTGCTATCAGTCTGTATCGATAAGAGGAAGGTAATTCGAGTGAAGAGGTTGCAGTGGAATTTCAGAGGGAACCAGACCATCTTTGTTGATGGGTTGCTGGTTGATATGATGTGGGATGTTCATGACTGGTTCTTCAACCCAGACTCTGGATATGCTGTTTTCATGTTTAGGACAAGAAGCGGGTTGGACAGCCGGTTGTGGTTGGAGGAGAAGACAGCGCAGAAGGACCAAGAGAGAGTTGAGTTTTCTTTGTTGATCTATGCCTGTAAGAACCCATAAAGAAATTTCTTGTTTCCATTTTTTTTCAATTTTATTTTCTCTCTCTTTCAATTCTCTTTCTTCTGGGGAGAATGAATGTAGTTATTCATTTGATGATGATTATAGGAAAGAAAAAAACAGAAAATACTTGGCAATGACATTCTGGTTTTTGAGTTGCAGAAATGTGTATTGATAAAACTTGAAATTGGTTGGTTTTGATCATACTTGGAGTTGTTTTTTTTCATCTCTTTCTTTCTTTTTCTCTCTGAACTCTTAAGTTTCAACACACAAGTTTTTATCTTTTTCCGTTTTCCATGGGAGGAAGTGGACACATCAGTTTGGATTCTCCAAGGAAAGAATTTTATTTAGTGTAACTGTAACAACACTAACAGCATTGACAGTGGCATCTGGTATGGTTGCCATGAGAAGCAAACAACAAGAAAAGGATAAAAGGAGAAGCCACCCAAACCCCAAAATAAGCTTTTGGGGATCTTAAAAAGATTTCAGTGGTTATTTTTAGGAGAAAAAAAAAAAGAACCACAGTCTCCGGTGGTAAACTGGTAATGAATAATGATCTGTAAAATTTTACCTTTTTAAACCCATCGAAGCCAGTTGTCTTTTTGGGCATTAATGAGTTTGTTTCCACGTTCTATAAAACATAAAAGGGAGATAACGGCATTAACAAAAGCTGTGCACTGTGCTTTCCAAGAAAAGCAACCACCACTCCAACCCTTGGAGTTTCACATGGTGGATACAGAGGTTTTACTTTTCATTCTTTTTTCCTTTATTTTTCTCTGGGGATAATTTTTTTCTCCCAAATTCTAGTGTGGATATTCAATGGGGCCACGAAGAAAAACAAGAAAGGCAAAGAAAATTAGGAAACAACATTTGTTGGTAAATGAAAAAAAAAGGAACTTTGGAACTTGGATTTGAGTTGTAGCAGTGTATCAGTAAGTTGGGAAGGTGGCATTGAGTCCTGTGTTTTTCTTTTGGGATCCTTTGATACAAATAGAAATGCTGGAATCTCTTCCTACAATGTGATTCAAATGCTGAGCATCCCTGTATAGGTTTGTATCTGAGTATCTCAGGCATTTGTTAGAAATTATTCATACCTTTTGTATAGTTTTTCCTACCCTTTCTATCAAACCAAATATGGATTTAGGGTGATGATTATTGGGGCAGGGGAGGGAGGGGTTAAACCAGCTAAGTGCCTACTTTTTTTTTAAAAACAATGCCCATGTGATTGGCGTATTTTTGTGTTTGATTATATATATATATATATATATACATAGATTCAAGAGTCATGTAGATGTAAGACCCATTAATAGAGAGCATATAATTTTGTGGGTTTGATTTTACGTCTCCATTTTTGAAGGGACACCAAATGACTGTTGAGTTATCAGCAAAAATAGGGTTTTCGAGACCATTTGAGATTATTGGCGTGGCCCTATCTTTTCTCTATGTGTATGTTTATTTTGGTTTTAGTCAAGATGATGGATGTGCCTAAGACTTTAAGTTTATCATTAGTACATCATGCAGATACATGCCTTGGCCTCACGTCCAAACCACCATCATCTTAGTTTATTTACTTTTCTCTCTACTAAATCTACTAAATCCTCACCCTCTTGTCCATTTTTAACTAGTGACTAGTTACTTGAACTGATCCATGATGATGTATAGCAGGAAAATACAAGTTTCATTTTACTTTAGTTTGCCCTCCTAGCCTTGTTAGTTTGTAATACAATTTAATTTGCATTGATGCAAAAATATGGGGCTGCAAATGAGTTGAGTCAAATTTCAGTTCAAATTTGTCATAAGTTTTACTCTATATTTTGTTTATTTGCGGTGCAGGTGAAAGTAAAATCCAGCGCAAAAATGATTCAAAATTATGCAATTTGTTTTATTTGCAGTCCCATGCCTTTGTATTAGTGCAGATAAAATTGCAATACAAACAAATAAAAAGATGGGTTCGACTATGATATGGAAAAGATATGGTATAAGAAAATTAACTGACCAATAAACTGAAATCACAAAAATTTTCCCTAAAAAGACTCAGTTTGGAAAGAATATAAATACAAATTTATAGAGTTCAAATTGATCAAAAAAAATTATAGAGTTCAAAATCTTGTATTTGTATGTATTTATACTGTAGATATTTGTATTTGTATTTCACCAAACTGAATCTAAGATTGCATTTATTTGCAATACAAACAATGAATTGGGGTATTTATATACCTCGGTTTAAATTTGTGAGCATTTTTTTATTATACAAAAAATGCAACGATTAAGAGGCCAAAAATGCTTTTTTCCTGACATCTATGTATCCTGGCCCGTGAGAAGAGTGCAATACTGTACCCATTTTTGGGATACGCACTTGTGCTCTTCGGATAATAGATATAAACAGGATATAGATTGGCATGTTTGACCAAAAGTTAATGTTTGCTCCCACACTTTGCAACTTGCACCAATTTCAAACAAACAAGAAGGATGGAAAAACGGGTTACACTGTGAATCCACTTTGCTTTTTTGAACCCAAAAAAAAATATGTACGCAAACTTGCAAAGTACATATTTGCCTTTGTATCACAAAACCAAACGCAGCCTAAAAGAAAATTTAAAAAACAATATACAAATCAATCTATCATGCAAAGCTGATTGGCAGAAGGAGGATGAGCCCCATTCATTCACCATGTGATTGGAATTTCTGGAGGGCTTGCACTATGAAGAAATCTAGATCACATGCTGATGTCCTAGGGATCAACATCAAATGGCCTAAATTCATTTAATGAATGAGCACTTGTAACTAGGACCCATTTAATTACGTTCTCTGATCTACTGTATATGGAACACATGGCAGTGGTCGACAGTATATTGTACCACTTGCTTTGATGGCATCCTCGTTTCATACATGCATTAGCAATTTAACATGAGACAAGAGACCCTCTCACTGACATCTACAAATGAAGAATTTAAAATAGTTTTCTTTTTTTTCCTTATTTAATTGTGCCCTTCTTTTTTTTTTCCAAGACCCGAATCCAGCTTAGATAGGGCATCCAATGGGTCGGGTCTGACCGATAGACCCAAAATGATTGGGTAGATTCTGGTTTAGGATTAGCACTGATGGATCTTAATCTATTGTCCTAATCGGTTCTACCCAATTTCAAATCAATTTAATAAATTAAAGTATAAAATTATAGGCCCTATAGGGTCTGGTTTGGTTCCAATTCCTTAATATTTTTTGTCGATTAATTTCTGATCTACCCAGATCTGTCCTATTGACAGTAGGGGTGGCAATAAGCCGAGTTCTTCATGAGCTACTTGAACTTGGCTCGACTTGGTTTCCGAGCCGATTTCGAGCCCAATTCATAGGTTCAATTAAGAAATGAGCCGAGCTCGAGCTTAATAGAGCTCGGTTCATGAGGCTCGCGAGCCGGTTCGAATATATATATATATATATAATTCTTAATTTTTAAATATCAAATAATTTTTTTTTTGTATTTAATTTTTATTTTTATAAAACATTTTTTCTCAAAATCGAGCTCGAGCTTATGAATTTTTTACTCGAGCTATGCTCGAGCTCAAGGTTCTAGCTCTTGAACTTGAGCCTTGTACTATTTGGCTCAGCTTGAATCCACCCCTAATTGACAGCCCTAGGCTCGAGGGGCCGGATTCAGTATAGGTTTTGCTTAACCCTAATTGATGAAGCCAACTCCCACTATCCAGGGCACTGCTTTTAAGTCATTGTTGATCTAGATCAGTGTTCTAAGACGGATTGTACAGTTGGACCATAAGAATATTACAATCATGCATTAGGAATATCTCTCCTGTCACTCATGGGATCAATGAATTTGGATTTAGTCCTCACATAACCAGCCTAACACCATCCTCAGAGGTCATAGCCATGTATTAAAATCATTTACATACTTGTATGTTTTTATTTATGGGAAAATATTTTTAATGCACAGCTGTAAGAGACAGTGAGGAAGGTTTTATGAGGACTGAATCCAAATTCATTCGCAATACATAGCAGTAGTGTCTTTATAAATAAAAATAAGGAAATAGTTTGTGGATAGTAGATATGGAGTGAATGTTCTAATTGCCTAATTAACTAGCAAAAGCCTGATCTATTGAGCACTCCGGCTTTTAATCATGTTCGAGTCTTACAACGTTGATTTTGATGGTCAAGTATTCACATTCAATCAAACTGAGTAATCAGCTAGTTACTAATCAAATATTCTAACTAATAGGAGAGATCCGAGAGGAGAAAGAAAGAAGAGGGAGAAAGATGAGAGAATTAACCAAAGCATGGTGAGATTTGTACTTTGGGGATAGTCTCATTTTAGGGCTTTAGATTTTAAAATTATAAAAATGCCCATGTTCTATTTATCTTTCTTTTACTTTTGGATTTCGGTGCAAATCAAAATATGGACATTTTTATAATTTTACCTATCATCGTGACCATTTTTGTATATTTCAAGAAGTTTAGGTATTAAAGTAGTACATTTGAAAGTTTAGACTATAAAATTACCTCTAAAATACCTACATGTAATTTACCTTTTTTTTATTAATGGCCACAAGAGCAAACTTCTTCCTCCATCCATGATCCACCGTTGTTATCTCTCCCTCATTAAAAGTATATAACCTAATACATTGATCCAACGGTTGTATCATAACCTACAATTGTAACCATCAGACCTTTCTAACCTAGACAGTCAAAAAGAGGAAAATGGTTCCAATGCAGGGTTGGGTTTTAAAACATTGCTTCAACAATAACCAGACCCAAACCAAAATCGGGAGTGGTGTTGAGTAATGTATTAATGTGAGTGGTTTTATTTTCTAAAACAAAAACAACTGCCATGTCACCTATCCCACAAATATTACCCCTATACTCAATGAAGGACTGAAATGCTACATTTTACAAATGCTTCAATGCTACTAATTTAGTTAATGGGTTGGGTTTGGCGTAGCTTAACTTCAACCCAAACCCAATCCAATGCTTGATTAAGGCTGGCCCACTCTGACCTGATAGGGGTTGGGTCAAGATGGGTTTATCACTTGGGCTCAGTTTGGAAAGTGTATAGTATAAATACGTATAAAATACAAGGTTTTGAACTTTATATTTATATTTGTATTCCTTCCAAACTGAGCCTTAAAGATTATCGTAATGCAGTA